TCAAAACCATTCTCACCCTTTCTGTAATCTCTGGGCTCAAGGATTCAAAAAACATAATTTTGAACATTTTATCCCCTTCGTGGTATTGATTCACATCGCCTGCGTAATACACTCTTTTAAATTGGACGAGGTAGTCACGTGGATCTTGGTCCATGCCCTGGGTCATCGATTTTACAGCATAAAACCCCTCAGTGAGTGTCGAATATTCTCCAAACTTCCGAATCACTGCCAGGCTCAATTGTTTAAAATCATTTCTAACCTTGTGTGGTAGTGACTTTACCCATGGAATAGATTCTTTATGTAAGGTCCGTTTCAACAAACTCGCTTTTTCATCCCGTCTCCTCAGCCCTCTAATCATTGCCTCCTCTTCCACTGTCGCGATATGTGTGTGGATATCCATAGTCTTATTGTGGGGGTCAAAATCGGGAATTCTGACTAGAGCCTTGTCCATCAACTTAAGGGTTTTACTGGTGAACAGGTATTCCGAAAGTTGATTGCTGACAGCGTCATCATCAAACAAGTTATCATCAGGCAATCTGTCACTTTGGTCTGTGCTGTGTCCCCTGTGTTTAAGTGGTGTGCATTTTTGTGTGCGCGCCCAGGGCCGTGTCGCTCGTGTTGCCATTTCCTTTCAGTTTTTGCCTCTGCCCTTAGTGTACCATGTCCTGGCGATTTTACTTTAACTTTTGTGCAATCAATCCCTGGACTCTGTCCACGTACCCAAGAGAGTGATTTGATGTTACTTCCATATTTATTCTGTGGCTCAACGTCTGTGAGTTTCGCTGGTGTCGCGAGCTTTGATTTCTCCTCCCTCTCGAGGGTGTGAGGACATTTCTCGTCGTTTATTAGAGACGATTTCTCTCCCGTTTCCTTTCCAAATTTTCCCTCATTCCACAATCCCTGTCTGTACGCCTGTGTGAGAAGGTATGAGTCCTGTCCTGCCTTCTCTGCAGTTTTTGCATCGTGTTTGCCTTCGTTACTTTTTATCCAGTCAATTAGTTTCCCCCGAGGTGTGTTCGTGTTATCGATACAGCTCCCTTCCCATATGTCTCTCTGACTGTACTGCTTTGTAACAGATTGGTCGGTACGTTTAAATACGACCTCCCCGTATCCCGTAACCCATTCAAATATTATTCTTAATCCTAGCATCTTAAGTATGGCAAGAGTTACCTTAATATTTCTTTTCAGAGTGCATATAAACAATTGTATCACAGGATGCGTCAGTTCAACTCGAGCAAATAATCTCAGCCCAGCTGTCTTTGTTATACTCTGCTACTCTGGTATTTCCCTTCAGAGCGCGTTTTGTTTGTATACCCCCGTTTACAATCACAAGGCAACGTTAGTTCACAACACTTTGATTAACACATCAGTGATTCGTTCCTGAATTCATGCATAACCTGTCTGCGAGAGATCCCGGACGAGCCCCCATTATGTTGTATATGTTGGGTATGAAAATTTGTTATGTTGTATGCGTGCGTGGGTGAAATTATTATGTTGTATATGTGGGTTATGAATATTCAGTGGAAATAATAATAATTAAATGAAATTTGGCCAAATGTGTAATTATCCGGAAATATGTTAATTTATGTAATTACGCACATTTTAATTATGCCAATTCGAGAGGTAATCGTATTAATTATGCGAGTGGGTGTAATTATGATAACGCAAGTCGTTATGATAACCAGACCCCGGTTCACCCCGTTATCGCTTTAACATTTACTGAGTATGTATTAGTGTGTTTATTAAGGTCACCAAGTTCAAATCTCAACGCAGAAGCAGATCTTATGCATAGATTTCAGGAAAGAATCACACAACCACTTCTGTATTGATCAATTTATTACTAATTCAACCTTAACTATGATATAATATGCGAACTCTCAATCCCGGAACGTCAACACGGCATCAATACAGTATCATCAACGATTGTCTGATTTCACTTTGACAACTGCACATGGATCCCGCATAACGCGATGGTTGTTAGTGAGAGAGAGAGTCGTTAAAACACGCAAATACTATGCTAAGAAAACCTTAATGTTAATGAATGATTATACTCAATATTGTTCATAACGCGATGGTTGTTAGTGAGAGAGAGAGTCGTTGAAATATGCAAATACTATGCTAAGAAAACCTTAACGTTAATGAATGATTATACTCAATATTGTTCATAACGCGATGGTTGTTAGTGAGAGAGAGAGTCGTTGAAATATGCAAATACTATGCTAAGAAAACCTTAACGCTAATGAATGATTATACTCAATATTGTTCACGCAGTACCACACTCCTTATTGACCATACGCAACCCTTATCACGTTGTTAACACCTTGGGTCACGGGACAGTTGAATATTCTGTAGAGGATGCGAGTACGTGCGCGATTATGACTGAAAGATACTTGAAAGATTATACGGCGATAAAAAAAACACAATCAAAAACAGTTATTATTCTTAAAGGCATCAATCTCAACAGATACATCGGCAGGTTATCTGACAACAGAACGGCTCGGAGTAAGGGCCTGCGACGGTGCTCCTTTTCCGAAGCTCGTTATCTTATACCAAGTTTACTAATTGGGGACCAGATCACCTGATAAGGATCCGGTGGGCCACCACTCCCCACGTGAGCGTGGCTCGGCGGAAGGAGGTGCCAAGAATCAGTTCGTATTGATGGATCTGTTGGGAATTTATGCGATTAAGAGTACAGCCCACTAAATATTAAAGATAAAAATTAAGAATACTCTTATAAACGACGGAGGGCCATCACTCGGTCTCGTTGTGATGCTTTCCAGCCACGGATGGCTTATGGGTTCGAGTGTTTTTGAGTGGTAAGAGTTGTCTTGAATAGTCAGTGTTCGGAGTCGATTCTTTAGGTCAAACAGACGCCTGGTGGTCGTGTGGTGAGGGGGCGGTGCGCGTCATACGTATCAGTTGATCCCCTGTCACCGTGGCGAACTGGTTCGGATGCCCGTTGATACGCTGTCGCAGTTCGGAACCCGGTCGGTAGGTGGCGCCCACAACTCGCTCGTAGCGTGCAGCTCTGGGTTGTCGCCGATCCGCGATGCTCACCACTCCGGTGGCAGCAGAGACCCCCGATTCGGCAGAGGTTGACGAGCTGAAGATGAGTCGAGCCGACCCGCTGGTCGCAGCTCGCTCCTGAGTCGACCCTCTGGTCGCACTCCTGAGTGGACCCGCTGGTCGCACTCCTGAGTGGACCCACTCTGGTCGCACTCGTTCCTGAGTCGACCCTCCCGTCGCACTCCTGAGTCGACCCTCTGGTCGCACTCGCTCCTGAGTCGACCCTCTGGTCGCACTCCTGAGTGGACCCGCTGGTCGCACTCCTGAGTGGACCCACTCTGGTCGCACTCGTTCCTGAGTCGACCCTCCCGTCGCACTCCTGAGTCGACCCTCCCGTCGCACTCGTTCCTGAGTCGACCCTCCCGGTCGAGCTTCTGAGTGGACCCTCCCGTCGCACTGGTTTCCAATGCTCAGGATCCTTTACTTTATGCCGAAAAATCCCCCTGGATCCCGCCCACAAGGCGGGACTTCTTTCGAATTTTTTTTGTGTCAGGATCTGTCCGTAGGCAGGTGTGTCCATGTGTGTGTCCGTACGTCCGTGTGTCCTTGTGTGCATCACTGACGGTATATTCGTTGTCACACTCCCTCCATAAAACCCACGAGCAAACAATCAGATGTTACAAATTGCCTCGAGGTCGTCTCTCTGTCTGGGCGCAACATTATCTCCTGTCTGGCCTTCCCCATGAACCCAAAACACAGACGTCACAAATGTCTCATAGGCGTCTTTGTTCGCACCACCTGGAGGGAGGGGCAACGCTCTCTCCGACCCGGCGCACAAAGAAATGGCCAAAAGTTTTAAGTTAACATTTGTCCCTTACTATTTCACAGCCATGATTCCGCATGTAACCCAAGGTCTGTCGTTTCCCATCGTGGTGCCCGACCCAAGTGGAGGCGTCTCCCCGAGCGTACACACACTCCCCTCCCGCGCTGCGGGGATACAAAGACGGCCGGGATCTCCCTTTCTCTCCGACCCTGGGTTTAACATCGTTTTTTTTACTATGTATTTATATTCGACCTGGTGGTGATTCATCCCGTTATCCTGGCTTTTCCATAAGTTTTACTTTTGTCTTTTCATGCATATGCTTCGGGTCGAGTTGTACAGAAAGCATTAAAGTATGGAAATAACATTTCATATTGACTTAATGATGGTGATGGTTCAGTAGGCGTACTTGTGACCTGGTTTAATTGGAGTGGGTGTGAATATCAAACTTTAGCCTACCCTGTTGTTAAATTCCGACTTTAACGTTACTTTAATAGCAATACAGAATAATTGAGCTTTTTGTCTTAACTAGGCGAACGCGAACTTCTGGTGACCCCCGCAGCCGTGTTATTTAGCTGGGTCTGCCCGCCTTGAGAGATATACAACACTTTTTTTAAATCAGCTCTCCCCTGTCCCTCCAACCTTCTGCTCTGGGAATGTTATTCTTAATTTCAGGTCCAAGGCCTCTTTGGGTTTATCTTTGTTTCCTCAGCTGCAGGAGAACAAGGCGTGCTTCTACCTCCCTTTCTGTGTGCACGTGTTCTAATTAGCTCGGAATCCCTAACACACAATCAGTGATGATTCCTGGCTTTCTGTGGTTATGACTTAGACAAAGGCCCTCTGCTTTCTTTCACTGCCTTTGCCTTGAAGCAAGGTTGCAATTCTGTCATCCTAGCCCTCCTCTCGTTCATTACTTAACAACACCTGATGTTTTGCAGTTTGGTGCGCTTTGGTGTGTTTCACTCATTAAAAAAACAAGTAAAAAGATAATATATAAAAATCATCAAATATTATTAATCTCAATTATGGAAGAAGGGTTAGGATACAACAGAGCGTTCCAGGTTGAAATTAATCCAGCAGTGGCTTGACTAAAGGCTGGCACACGTGCCGCACCTGTACGAGACTGTGAACGGTGTTTGCGCGTCTCTCCATCTACCCGCGTCCCCCACGCCAGCGGACGGGGTTGCATTGGGTGCCGCTGCCTCCACGTCCCGCACGGCCATTCAGCTCATCGTGTTCGTGGCCATCATGTTGCACAAGGTGAGTTCTCCCTACCCTCGACTGCCCATCGGCTGCCCCCTTTGTCATTTTGGTGAGTGACCCCCCCCCCCCCCAAGGACAGTGTTGCCAATGAAACTATTTTTGCCAACTCAGTTATTACCTGGTTAAACAAACGTCAACTTTATTGGCTAGGCCATAACAGTGAGTGTTTAATGGATTGGGGAGGAATGCAGTTCTTCTGGCCTCACGACCTCCCCGTGTGCCAGGCTAGCCTTTCCCCAGTGGTCTCTGTGTAAGGCTACACAGGTGACCTTGGTCTTTCTACATCATTTATACTTGTTTTATTAATTGACTACGAGGCTTTTTTCTCAAAGGACACATGGGGCGTATAAGAGCGCGTACAAAAATGAAATCCAAAAATTTCACGGGAAGAAAATTAAGCACAAAGCAAAGTAAAAAGGCATTAGCGGACGTTAAAAATGTGATGATGGATCTATGAAGATGGCGGTTGAGTTAAGGTGGCGGCGATGATGATGATGGATTAACGAAGAGAAGCGCTGGTGACGATCCACCGCTGAAGATGAGCTCAGTTTGCGAGAAGGAGTGAGATCGATCGCAGTGCTCGTGAGCGATGGCGACGACATTGGGGAGACCTTCATCCAGCAATGGATAAAACAAGGCTGTGTGTGTGTGTTGTGGGCAGTGGTGGTGTAACTTTTAGTGTGCTGCGCTACGAACCCGGCGACGCGAGTTGGATTTCTGCTCACGGCCAACACCAGTGGCGATTATCTGAACCGGTCCTGGGCCTCCCCTAGATCGACTCAGCCTCATAACGAGTACCCGGTGCGGTGTGTCACATCGCGACACGGAAAATAAAGGCAGCCGGGTGTGGTCCCGGCCACCCACCCCCTCGTGTACCATTCCTGGCCTTCATACGCGCTACTCGCTAAGGGTACTTGCCCCAACGGTCTGTTCAAGGCTATACGGGGGGTCTTTGTCTTTGTGCGTGTGTCTGTGGAGGCGCCGGCCGCGTTTGGCCTCGTCTCGTTCCTGATGCACGCGGGACTGGAGCGGAACCGCATCCGGCGCCACCTGCTCGTCTTCTCGCTCGCCGCCCCCGTCCTCGCCATCGTCACCTTCCTCGTCCTCAGCCAGGTCCGGGTAACGGCCTGCCGCTTCCACGCGGCAGTGCCCACACGTGGGAGACGCGACACTGCGGCTCCGCGCGATGACGCGCGACGCGTTGTTGGAAGGTTGCACGTTTGATAAAATCGGGCTCCTCCATGGCACGTTGAGGAAATTTACAGGGATAAGAATCTTTATCACGGAGGCTTTCGCGACCAATATCATCCATAATAGAGGTTTTTGGGTTCGTAAATATATAAATGTGTCATTAAAACCCTCCACCACCTGACACAGCCAACTAGTAAGGGTTGTCACGTAAACAGAACTTGCCAATTCGTCACTAGTACAGCACACCGGTGTGTTGGAGAGCCAAGCCACAACATTTTAATGACACATTTATATATTTACGCGATCTAACCCAAAAACCCCTTTAATGGATGAAATTGGTCACGAAAAGCCTACGTGTTAAACTGGCTGTGCTCAGATTGTAAATGTTGTGGCTTGGCTCTCCAACACACCGGTGTGCTTTACTAGTGACGAGTTGGCGGCCGAGTTCAATTCCCAGCGATGGCTAACGTAGATGGCGAGTGACATCCGAAACGGTTGGCAACCAAAATAACAAGAAGATCCATTTTTTTTCGAATTCGGTAAACAAAAAATCTGAAATTTTCAAGAGTCGCCAATGCACGTGATCACGAGACGGTCCTCAATAAATAACGTCATGAAAGCAGTCTGTTAAATTGTTTAACTTTTTATGTTACCAGGTAAGGTCCATTGAGCTATATCGCTCTTTTCAGACACGACCTGGCCACAAATGATAGCTCAATGAAGTGGCTTATCACGTGGACACTTATAACAGCCGAATACTCTAAACGCACGTTGATTATAAATGTGGAGGGAAAAACCGGAGGACCCGGAGAAAAATCCACTCCACCATGGGGTAGCGTAGGAGAACATGCAAACTTCAAATATACAACAGGCGTCGTCAGGGTCGGGATCGAACCCACGACCTCCTGCATAAATCTCGCCACCATGGCGCATGCGGCTCCGTAGCCACAGCTTTGCTGACCTCTGCACGAGGTCAACTGAGCCTTAAATAAGTACCTAGTGGGGGGCAGGGGAGACTTGTTGTGTTGTTGGGCTTGGCGAGGGTGGAGGTGAAACCGCCACCCTCTGTCGCACACAGAGCGGCAAGGAGTCCGCGTCCACCGTGGATGCCACGGGGGTGGCCATGCTCTTCTCGGCGGGGACCTTCCTCTACGTGGCCACGGTGCACGTTCTGCCGGAGGTGGGCGGCGCCGGCCACAGCCACCGCCCGGATGGGGGGGGGTCGGCTCCCGGGGGGGGCCCCGGGGCGGCGGGAGCGACGGGGGGAGCGGGAGGGGGCCCAGCGGCCGGGCCGGCGCTGAGCAAGGTGGAGCTGGCTGTGCTGGTGAGCGGCTGCCTCCTGCCGCTCGTTCTGTCGCTGGGACATCAGCACTGAGCAACGACGGGTCGTGCGTGCGTGTGTGTGTGTGTGCGTGTATGCAGTAAATATGTGGGTGTGTACGTGTGTGGGTATGTACGTGTGTCTGTTTTAGTACGTGATTCTATGTGTGTGTGTGTGTTTGTCTTTGTTGTACTACTACACGTGTATGTGTGTGTGTTCAGGCATGTTTGTGTGCGTGTCGGGAGTGGTATCGTAACGGTTAGCGTGTTGCGCTACGAACCCGGCGACTCGAGTTTGATTTTGGCCAACACCACAGTGACAATTATCTGACCTGGTACTGGGCGTCCCCGAAGGTCTACTCAACCTCAAATGAGTACCTGATGTGTAAACATCACCACTTGGGAGACAAAGGTGGCTAGGCATGGTGCTCGCCACACAACCCACTCATGTGCTGTGCCCGCCTTCATAGGTGCTCGCTAACAGTACTTGTCTCAATAGCATGTGTAGGCTTCACGAGGCATCTTTAAATAACTTTGTTTATTACATGTATGTGTGTAGGTGTGTGCGGTACCCATTTGTACATGTACGCAGCACGTGTATGTGTGTTAAATACATGTGTATGTATGTACTTAGTATGTATGCGTGTGTGTATCTGATATTTGTGTGTATGCGTGTGTGTGAAATGCATGTGTACTATGCACTGCACGTGTGTGTGTGTGGGTGCACGTGTACTATGTACATATGTATATTGCATGCGCGTGTACGTGTGTGTCTATATCCTAGCGTGCGTGTATGTGTGTGATCTACGTTCTCGTGTGTGCATGCACGCACTTGCGTCCGTGCACGTGCGCTCGTGTACATACATACATGCATTCTTGCGTGCGTACGTGTAACGTGTGTGTACATACAACCGTTACATGAGTAGGAATTTATTGCGCATTTCTATTTCAAAAAAATACGCGCTGCCCCGTTGGCCCAACAAATTAATCCGGGACTTTAGCCACAGCGTCCCGAGTGTTTTACGTGAAACAAAACACAAAATGATGGGTATTTTTCTTTTTAGATGCCAACTTTGTTATTGTTGTCATGTTTAATTGTTTTTATTGCGTCAGCTGGAAATGATAACCCTAGCCTTAACCAATAACCAACGAGGAACATCAAGTGTCCAGTATGACCGCCACACACGGGTTTTGCTGTTGTTATGAATCATCAGTTTGGCAGAGCCATAGGGATGTACTTGTGCAATTTTCGGAAGACGCCGTCGTGATAAGCCACCGCTTAACACGAGCATTTGGGTGGCGCTGATCTCCGTCTGCGATTCCGAGCCAGCAGTGGAAATTCTACGTTTCCACCGCAAGGGGCCAGTCTCGCCATAGGATGACTTCTCGTTTTATCTACCCATAGTGGATGATGATGATGATGATGATGGACCGTGTCGACATGCGACCCCTGAATTGAACTCGCGTGCTTGAGCACCTCAGGATTTGACATGGAACAAGCTTATGGAGAATCATTTTTTTGCACTGCTATTCATTAACCTTCGTTGTGAATCGAATGCGATGAGCGCGATGGCCGTGGATTAATTCATGAAAATTTCCTTTTTTTTTTTACGCCCTTTACCCCGGTTTTAGTTAACAGGGTTCTGTGAAGGCTTATCGCCGGCCAGTTTTACAAGAAGAAAACTATACATTATTAGAAGTGTTTTCGTCTAAAAAAAATATATTATTAATAATTTCTAGTGGTTGGTTATCTTTTTTGCAGAAATAATTATTAGGGAAGCTGCAACGCAATGACAGAACAGCTCTTATCTTGTACGTATGCAAATATGCTGCGTCCCGGGCTGTCTGACGCAATCATGAGGCTAAATGACAAAATAAAGATTTTTGAGTTAAGTACAAGCGTGTCATCACATCACTGTCACCTCCAATACACCATCGCACGCAATGAAGTGTGGACCTTAACAAAATTTCACATCGTTGTTGGACATCCCAGACCATGGGCTAGGAAATTATCTACAAGATAAGGGGGCCTTTCTGCGGTTTGCAACTTGACACGAACAGCTGTTACGACTGGTTGTGGTCAACATCGAATCGTTGATCACCGGGGAGTGGGGCGATGACGCGGCAGTTTTGCGCGCGGCTCCCTGTGAACCAGGCGAATCGCGAACACCGGTAACCGTCGAGCGATTTCGGAACCATTCCGTGGCCCTCCACCCTCTCCTCCCCTCGTTCAACCCCAGCACTCTTGACAAGTGCGGTAAAGAAAAATGGTCAAACAAACCTCCCACGGCAAACAGGGCGTGTGGGGAGGCCTTCATCCAGCAGTGGATTGATAAAGGGCGTGAACACGACCTGCCTGAGGATGCACTCAAAAGTTGTGAGCCCGGCGCAATGTTGAACTTCTTAAGCACCGTACGTAGCCAACCGTGCTAATCCGATGTGCGGGGAAAGGACGACAAAAATGCCGGTATTTGCGATGCGGATTTCACCGCGCTCGCCGAATAATCCTCCCTACGTTTGCAAAGCCTTTGTTTTTGGCACATCCCAGCAAACGCTTTGCTGTGAGCATTGGTTATCTGGTGCAGGCTTGCACGTAACCCGCATTCGCACTGGAATGGAGAGAGAGAGAGAAAAACTGTCGGCACGAATATATTTGAAGTTGGATGAACCCTCGACTGTGCTAGACTTAGGGTTAGGGGGCTCATGTAAGGGCTATTGTTATGGCTAGCGGTTGAATTAATGGTACGTTTATACATATGGTTAGTGTGAGTGCATAGGGCGATTCTGGTTAAAGGTAGGACTATGGTTGGGGGATAGGGAAAGTGTGTGGGATTTGCTGCACGATATGATTAGTGCCATTATTAGAGGGTGAGGATAGAGCTTTTGACAAGGTTAGGGATAGGGTCATTTTAAAGATGGTATTAGGGGTAGGGCTATCGTTAGAGTAAGAGTAGGCTTAATTGTAGGATTAATCTGTGATGGTTAGGAATATGGTCAGTTTTAGAAATAAAATTTGATCTGTTGGGTAAGCGTTGATGTGATACTAAGGATAGGAGTTGGGACAGGGTTGAAGGTGTGCTGTGTTAAGCTCGATCTAAGAAGGCTAACAGAACGTTTCACAATACTAATGTGTGTGTGTTATGTTACCGTGTGTACGTGGTTTTGTTCGTGTGTGTATGTATGTGGTTTTGTTCGTGTGTGTGCGTGTTATGTTACCGTGTGTATGTATGCACGTGGTTTTGTCCACGTGCTGGTCAGTTTGCTCAGAGAATCCATTGGCTTCTTACAGGACCACCGGTCTAAACGAAACGAGACGGTCTTCATGACGTGTCAAGATGCCTAACACTTGGGTGTCTCCATCTCTTGGCCACGCTCCATCCGCGCGGTTGAAACGGTTCGCGCGGGACATTAAGTTTGGTGTGTGCCGACACAAGCAGTGTGGTCTTGGTGATGTCCCAACGGTGATGTGGAGAAGCGCCACTTGGCGTACGACGCCTCGTTGCCCACATCCACAACTTCCCCTGCCACCCGCCACCTGTGCCAGCCGCTCGCAAGAGCCTGGGAGTGGTGGGGTTTGTTTCGTTAATTGCCCAGGGGAGTAATTTTGTATATAGAGTTACTATATAAAATGTACGTTTTATACTTTTTTGTTTTAATGTACAGCCTTGTTGGTGCAAGGTGCGTGTCATGGTTATCGTTTTGGCGGGTGATTGTGGGAATTGTGATATGGCGGAGCTTCCGCGGGGTTTTATTTTTAGTGCTGGTGTCGGTTGTGCCGAGTGTTTTAATGTTGGGGAGGAACGTGTGAGTAGCAGGCGTAAGTAAACCCATGAATTTGGACGTCATTACTTAGCAGAATCACCAGATTTACTTTTATGTTTAAATTCAGAGGTTATTGCGTGTGAGCAGTTTGGCATAACGTGAGGGCAGGTCATGTGACCCCTCCATCTCGGATGTAGGGACTTGTTGTAAATCCTGGTTCGCGATGCGATTCATTAAGCGGTGCTATGATTGTGGGGGAATGTAGCGGCTTCAAGCACCCGCAGGGGTTACATGAACCCATTGAGAAATGCATTTCTCACACCATTCAATGCATGTATCGTGAGCTAAATGATTTGTATTCATTGACGCATCGTTACATCTACACAGATCACGCAACAAAGATTCACATTGTTTATGGATATTCTGTACTTAAATCGGGCTGTTGTGTTAATTTTGAAAGCGATCGTGCCATTAATCAGATTAAAATAAATTGAAAGTACCAAGCAGTGAATTACTTTATATTACTTCTTGAAACACAAAGTACTTTCATTCGTAACCAGAGGCTGGTGTCATCTTCAGAAGTTACCCGACCAATGCTGGCTATGCTCACGGAAGGGGTGGTCTGCTCCAAATGTCTCCGAGTCCTTGTGTCCAATGCACATCTCGCCGCGGTGACTAGGAGATGTTAACTACCTCGCCTGGTATGCAGGAGGTTGTGGGTTAGATCCCGACCTCGACGCCTGCTGTATATTTGGAGTTTGCATGTTCTCCCCGTGGTCGCGTGGATTTTTCTTCGGGCATCCAGTTTTTCCCCTTCACATCAACATCACGCGTTTTAAGAGTATCTGGCTGCTATAAATTCCCGCATGATAAGCCACTTTGTTGAGCTATCAATTTTGGCAAGGTCGCTTCTGAATAAGCGCTCTATAGCTCAGTGGGCCTTACCTGGTAAAATAAAAAAAATAGTTGAGTTTTTTTGTGTGTCATGTCTAACAGGGCCTCATCCAGGCTCGCTCCACCAGGTGGCGCCCTGGTTTGGGCCTTTGACTCGCGATCAGAGGGACACACGTTCAAATCCCAGTCAGGAATCAACTTGGCCGATCCTCATTGAGCTTTCATGGTTGTTGTTTTTTTAAAGGTGCTATCTAATGTAGGGAAGTCGACAGCGGTTGTCCCATGGTTAGACCGGCCTCCACCATGGGAATTAGGAATCTCCGCTCCTGGCTCAGGGCTGCCATTGGAGATGAACACTGGCCCCACGCTCATTCGAGCAGATACTCGGTGTCATTTAAGTAATCCATTCCCAACACAGAGATGGAGCTGCCATGGTGTGCACGTGAAAACCTGGCTGTTGTCAGATGTTTGCACGTGGTTGAGTCCACGTGAGAACACCTGCTTAAAACACAACAGCTTTGTGGACCGTACAACAGCAGGGAAATACGTCACTGAGGAATCGTTTTGGTGTCTAAAATCGTATTTTGTCGGTTCTTGTCAATTCAGTGCGTTGGCGTTAATCCTTCCGATCGCTGCTTTAAAAACAAAATAACGTTCGCTTTGGATGGATGCCTTGGTGTGGCTGTTTAACCCCCCCTCCCCACCTCCCTTTGTCCATGCCCCATCCTCACGTTCTGTAGTTTGTGTCCTAATCATGGTGCGGCCGTGCCCCCGTTAGCGTAGCGGCACCAGATGAAGAAACGTCCATCCGCGCCTCTCGTGGCAGGCCAGTGAGACATCGCACCATCGGTAGGGGGGACGACCCCAGAAGATGTTATTACAATACCGCTCTTTCTTTCGTATGGCCTTTGAAGAGTGGCTGGCCAAACATTCTAACTGGACGTTTAGTCTGAGAATATATTCGATGGCATCGGGAGTCGCTTGATGTACGGCCTGCGTCGGTGTGTAATGGAGCGAGTGGTCGGTTATGTGATGAACAATTTTGCGTTTCACCACATGCATACTACTTACTGCTGAGGCCTCTTCAGTGGTGTCTTAGCCACACGCGGAGGAGCATCAGTTATCTGCAAAGAGTGTTGTTTGCTTAGCAAACTGACATTGAATTGATTAACAATACAGCCACAGTTGAAGTCCATCATCTCTGTAGGAATGTGGAATTTCCACCACTCTTGGCTGTTAACAGAGATGCGTGCCACCCAACAATTGTATGAGCAGGGAAACACCTTTAATCAGTGTCCAAATAGTTTAACATATACCACTTGTTTTATAGTCGTTACGATCTTTATCGTTATTATTAAGGGTATTTAAATTTATCAGTGGGGGGGGGGGGGGGGGTGATTTATTTGTTAAGTACGAAATGTTACTTTCTGCCCAGTGGAGGTTAGTTATGTCTGCTCTAATGAACACCTCGATGGTGCTCGTCTCTGTTGGTGGCTCCGAGCCAGCGTCATGAATCCCACAATTATATGGGAGAGGCACTTTCATCCCTCTGGACCACCACTGTTGGCTTCCCCACAAAACAATCGCGTCTTTCTTTACCCTACTCGAGAGACGATGGGCTTTGTTTTGGGATTTGAGCTTCCGACCATTCAGTCACCCGCTTGAACACGCCAACTAAAGCGTCGCACAAAGCGTTCCTTGAAATCCCTCGATAAGCTGTTGATGACGGGCCAGCGCCTTGTACATTCGGTAAGATCTTGGTGTATTAATTATAATACAAATCAATAAAAATAGACTTTGGACAATTGTAAATGTTTTCATGTTTGTGTATCAGAATTCGGTGTCTTGTCATCAATTGTTTCGACACGAGTCCCGTCATAAGGAGAAGAAATATCCTGGAATTTCCAGTCCACATGCCAACAATTCCGTGATGTTGCTTCTACGGAGAACTAACTGCCCTGGAAGAGGACGTGAAATGTTTTACTGGTAGGAACCACCTGGTTCCACCAGCCCACAGGGGATTATTGTGTCCGTCCGTCGTGCATCCAAAAATGTGAGGGGTGGGGCTGGGTGGAGAGGGGAATGTGGGGAGGGTGGGGCTGGGTGGGGGGGTCGGAGGGGTGGGGTTGGGTGGGGAGGGGCTGATCACCCCGTGGTGCCCTTATAAAACTCAACGTTTAACCTACTCACGCCGGCTTGTGTCCGCCCTCACAGTTGGGCATATTTGCGGAATACACCACGCCGCTGTTGACCCTGGCCATTGACCGAGCAACCCAACGTTCCTACCAGCTCCCTCCGCAGGAATGTGTTTAAACAGGCGTGGCTATGATATGATTAACTCACACCACACTAGAGGGCATCCCACTGATGCCCATAGAGTGCAGTACTTGTGTGTGTCGCTATGTTAAAACAACATCATTGGGTGTCTGTTTGCTTGGACAGCTGGAGTACAATTTCATTCTTATACTGCCCGAGTTCTTTTTTCACCATTCTATTTCATCTCATTCTCCGAGTTCGGTTCTTAGCCATGATGCACAACACTAGTGGCAACTGGAATCTAAACCTAGCTTTTGCAACTTTTCCTAGGTCTACTCATCCTACACTGAGTTGTACCCTGACCTGGCATGGTGGCAGTAATAGCACCGTGTGAAGACCAAGGTGGGTGTATGGCATTGACCCTTGATGTGGCCTTAATACGACTTGGGTGCACACTAACGGCACTTTCACAACACTCTCTGTGGCAAAGCAGGTGATCTTTGCCTGTGTTAATGAGTTCACTTAAAAGCGTAATTGCGTCTCAAGCCTCCTTTCCAGGGGTCAGGTTTTGGCTGATTCTTTATTGAGCGTTTCGTATGTGAGGGAAATCCACCAGAGTAATCGGATACAATCCACACGATAATGAATGCACGTCATGTACATTCCTTAGATTTACGAAACAGTATATAATACGCACCCCCGTTGGTTATAAATAGGAGCGATTTGCTTGAATGTTTACAGATTTCGTTTTTTTTTTCTAGCACAGTCTGTGGGAAATCCCTGAGTCTTACAACGCGCTTTCAAGACGTGCATTTCCTGTTTTTGAAAAAATAATGAGAGACATTTTATCTTCTCGCTGCCAAACCGCCCTTTTAGGTAGAACATGTTCGCCTGTCAACTACATGTTGCATAAGAAACAAAAAAACCCAAGAAGACAGGGCAACAAGGGGTAGTGGCAACCTCATGGCTCTCGAATTGAACAAGTCCCTGGCCCCCCCTCCCCAAAAAGTGGCTTTTCCGAAGCCATGAAAAGGGCGTCGCAACTCGTCACACGCATGAACCACACACGACCACCTCGCTGGTCCTCGTGAAAAGGAGCGTAAACCTTCACGGGAACTCCGGCCATCATCGCATTAGAAGCAGCGGCGGCTTCTGGGGCTTGACCGGCGGAACGTTTTCACGCGCTTCTCCGTGGCCGTCTGGAACGCTCTTCCTTCCGACGTCAGATTGCGAAACTTTAGAACTCATTTTTGTGTTTGGATTGTTGTGACCCCCCCCCCCGCCGCCGCCGCAACCTCCGATTAGCGCGGTTGGCTAAGTATGGTGTGAAAGAAGTTCATGCTTACACGCATAACCTCCATCAACCGCACTGAATTTACACGCTGATCGTCAGACATGATCAATCCACTGCTAGATGAAGGCCCCTCCCCAAACTTTTTGCCATCTCCCATCGTCCTGCGATGTAGCAATCCACCCAGCAGCTACGCACGAGCTGATTCCATCGTTCCATCTCCGTGTTGTACGTGATCTCTCTCGGGGCGGGTTTCTCCCTCCTTTGGTTTCCACTCCATGCCCTTGGTGGCAATTACACGAGTTGTGGAAATCTCAACATTCCCAAATGCGACCACTGCTCACGTCCCACAAAGTGAGTGCCACTCGCTGTGTCTGCCCTGGAGGGATGATGATGATGATCATTGTAGGAAGGTGCAAACAATAGCACAAAATAATCAGCGTTCCCGTGGAGAATATAAGTAAGAACATAGCTAAGTTGACAGTGTCTCATTCACACATGTCTCTCCAAGTATTCTTTACACAACTCATCAGGCTCACGGTCTTCTGGAGAGGAGTGCATCGTTTTCAACAACATTGATTCAATCGAAGCAAACTGTGGACCGGTTTTGACAAACAGGGCCTCATCAGCAGCCGGGCTCTATGATGAAGGGACACTGTGTGTTGGTCTATTGCAGCGTTCTTCATCGCGAGGACTGGGCCACTCACGGCCCCTGGTGGCCTTTAGTGTGGCTCCTGACACTACACAAAGAGTGAAAACACCGCCCCATCATCATCACCATCGTGCTGCTGCTGTCAACACCCCACTGGTGTCAAATGTGTGGCGGCCCTCGCACTGATGATGTCTCATCAGCGAAAGTGTCCCCATCCCCCCCTCTGTAAGTTAGTGACGAGCACTGATTGGTACTCCATCATGATGAGTACACTGGTTGACACCATGATTGGTGCTCTATCATGGTTACTGATTGGCACAATATCATGGTTGTTAGTACACTGGTTGGTTGGTACTCTATTATGAGACACTCGCTGCAGAGGTTCACGGTTCGACTCCAGCGACCACCCTGAATACTACCGCAGGTGTTTAACCATAACATTACTCTTCTTGGTTCTTTCGGTAAAGTCACGTAGAAGGGAAGTAATAAAATAATAAAAATAAAACATAATAAAATAATATAAAATATTTTTTATTATTTTATTACTTCCCTTCTACGTGACTTTACCGAAAGAACCAAGAAGATGAATCCCTGCAGTCACGAAAGCTTTAAATCGAAACATAACATTACTACCGCAGTCTGCTTCACAGTGAATATTGGTGGTGGTGGGGGGGGGGCAGGGAATAACCCCGTGATGTAATTCGCAAGAGTAGAACATTGTGTGTCGGAGTCAGGGGTCCAAACTTGCCACGTCAAAAAAAATTTAAACTCCAAATTACTTAATTGGGCCTCGACACGGTCGTTTGCATGCCAGGTGCGGTGGCAATGTGCCCTCAACAGCAGCTGCCACCCGGGGTGTGGGGTCGTGACCTTTCCAACGTCACGAAGAGAGCGGGTGGGGGCTACCTGGGGTGGGCGGGGGGTTACACCAATAGCGGACGGGGTTTCCAATGAGTGGGCGGGGCTACAAGACTAGCGGGCGTGGCTAAAAAAAATGGGCGTGGCTACAAAAATGGGCGTGGCTACCATGGTAATGGTTGGGAGAGTGGGAGGGGATATCTAAGGGTGGGCGGGGGGTTACACCAATAGCGAACGGGGTTTCCAATGAGTGGGCGGGGCTACAAGACTAGTGGGCGTGGCTACAAAAATGGGCGGGGCTACCATGGTAATTGGGGAGAGTGGGAGGGGGACAACTAGGGGTGGGCGGGGGGGGTTACACCAATAGCGGACGGGGTTTCCAACGAGTGGGCGGGGCTACAAGAAAAGTGGGCGTGGCTACAAAATGGGCGTGGCTACCATGGCAATGGGAGGGGGGGGAGGGGTTACACGTGGAGTGGGCGAGGGTCACGTGGGGGGGGGAGGGCGAGGGTGGGCGGGTTTGGGGTTTTCCCGCCCACGCGAACCGTTGGGAATTCCCAGGGACCGCGTCACGACCCGGCGGGCCAATGACGTCGCGCGTCTGGCGTCACGTGGGCTCGTCGCGTGACGTTCAAAACTGAGGAGAGAGGAGAGTGGAGCTCCTCCATGGTGGTCGTCGTCGTCGTCGTTATCGCCGCTATTGACGTCGTTCTCCCATTACCGCCAAGCGGCTTTACGCGGCTCGCGAGCGGAGCCGGCGACCGCGCGCATTCGATGTCGAGGAACCGCGTTAATTCGGGGAGCGAACGGGTGAGTACAGTGAGGGGCCGGGGGTACAGTGCAACGCGTACAGTGCGGCGGGTACAGTTCGCGGTTAAACCGGGCGCGGGTACAATGGCGCGCGCACAGTGTGTACAGTGCACGGCGTGTACAGTGTGCGGTGTTTACAGTGCGCGGTGTGTGCAGTGTGCGGTCTGTACAGTGCTCGGTCTGTACAGTGTGCGTGCCCGGTATGTACAGTGTACGCGGTGTGTGCAGTGTGCGGTGTGTACAGTGCCCGCTGTGTACAGTGCGACGGGGTGCGGGTACCGGTGGTGGAGTAGTAGACCTGTGGGGTGCATCTCGAGTGGGTGTTGCTATTGTGGCGTGCGGTCGATAAGAGTGGGTACAGTCGGCGAGCGTCTGGCGGGCGTGGTGTGTACAGTGCGTGTACAGTGGTTTCCAGCGTGGCGCGTACAGTGCATTGCGCGTGAACAGCTGACGGTGCGCGATGGATGGGGCGCGCATTCGCTGCGCGATGTGCGAACGGCTGCGTTCAGTGTGCGCGGTGCGAGTGGGGTGTAACAGTGTTCATGTGCAGGGTGCAGTGTGTAACAGTGTTCATGTGCAGTGTGTAACAGTGTTCATGTGCGGGTGCAGTGTGTAACAGTGTTCATGTGCAGTGTGTAACAGTGTTCATGTGCAGTGTGTAACAGTGTTCATGTGCAGGGTGCAGTGTGTAACAGTGTTCATGTGCAGGGTGAAGTGTGTAACAGTGTTCATGTGCGGGGTGCAGTGTGTAACAGTGTTCATGTGCAGTGTGTAACAGTGTTCATGTGCAGGGTGCAGTGTGTAACAGTGTTCATGTGCAGGGTGAAGTGTGTAACAGTGTTCATGTGCGGGGTGCAGTGTGTAACAGTGTTCATGTGCAGGGTGCAGTGTGTAACAGTGTTCATGTGCAGGGTGCAGTGTGTAACAGTGTTCATGTGCAGGGTGCAGTGTGTAACAGTGTTCATGTGCGGGGTGCAGTGTGTAACAGTGTTCATGTGCGGGGTGCAGTGTGTAACAGTGTTCATGTGCAGGGTGCAGTGTGTAACAGTGTTCATGTGCAGTGTGTAACAGTGTTCATGTGCAGGGTGCAGTGTGTAACAGTGTTCATGTGCAGGGTGCAATGTGTAACAGTGTTCATGTGCAGGGTGCAGTGTGTAACAGTGTTCATGTGCAGGGTGAAGTGTGTAACAGTGTTCATGTGCGGGGTGCAGTGTGTAACAGTGTTCATGTGCGGGGTGCAGTGTGTAACAGTGTTCATGTGCGGGGTGCAGTGTGTAACAGTGTTCATGTGCAGGGTGCAGTGTGTAACAGTGTTCATGTGCAGGGTGCAGTGTGTAACAGTGTTCATGTGCAGGGTGCAGTGTGTAACAGTGTTCATGTGCAGGGTGCAGTGTGTAACAGTGTTCATGTGCGGGGTGCAGTGTGTAACAGTGTTCATGTGCAGGGTGCAGTGTGTAACAGTGTTCATGTGCAGGGTGCAGTGTGTAACAGTGTTCATGTGCAGGGTGCAGTGTGTAACAGTGTTCACGTGCAGGGTGCAGTGTGTAAGTGTTCACGTGCAGGGTGCGGTGTGTAACAGTGTTCACCTGCAGGGTGCGGTGTGTAACAGTGTTCATGTGCAGGGTGCAGTGTGTAACAGTGTTCACGTGCAGGGTGCGGTGTGTAACAGTGTTCACGTGCAGGGTGCGGTGTGTAACAGTGTTCACGTGCAGGGTGCAGTGTGTAACAGTGTTCACGTGCAGGGTGCGGTGTGTAACAGTGTTCACGTGCAGGGTGCAGTGTGTAACAGTGTTCACGTGCAGGGTGCGGTGTGTAACAGTGTTCACGTGCAGGGTGCAGTGTGTAACAGTGTTCACGTGCAGGGTGCGGTGTGCAACAGTGTTCACGTGCAGGGTGCAGTGTGTAACAGTGTTCACATGCAGGGTGCAGTGTGTAACAGTGTTCACGTGCAGGGTGCGGTGTGTAACAGTGTTCACATGCAGGGTGCAGTGTGTAACAGTGTTCACGTGCAGGGTGCGGTGTGTAACAGTGTTCACATGCAGGGTGCGGTGTGTAACAGTGTTCACATGCAGGGTGCGGTGTGTAACAGTGTTCACATGCAGGGTGCAGTGTGTAACAGTGTTCACATGCAGGGTGCGGTGTGTAACAGTGTTCACGTGCAGGGTGCAGTGTGTAACAGTGTTCACGTGCAGGGTGCGGTGTGTAACAGTGTTCACATGCAGGGTGCAGTGTGTAACAGTGTTCACGTGCAGGGTGCGGTGTGTAACAGTGTTCACGTGCAGGGTGCGGTGTGTAACAGTGTTCACGTGCAGGGTGCGATGTGTAACAGTGTTCACGTGCAGGGCGCGGTGTGTAACAGTGTTCACCTGCAGGGTGCGGTGTGTAACAGTGTTCACGTGCAGGGTGCGGTGTGTAACAGTGTTCACGTGCAGGGTGCGGTGTGTAACAGTGTTCACGTGCAGGGTGCGGTGTGTAACAGTGTTCACGTGCAGGGCGCGGTGTGTAACAGTGTTCACGTGCAGGGCGCGGTGTGTAACAGTGTTCACGTGCAGGGCGCGGTGTGTAACAGTGTTCATGTGCAGGGTGCAGTGTGTAACAGTGTTCATGTGCAGGGTGCAGTGTGTAACAGTGTTCATGTGCAGGGTGCAGTGTGTAACAGTGTTCATGTGCAGGGTGCAGTGTGTAACAGTGTTCATGTGCAGGGTGCAGTGTGTAACAGTGTTCATGTGCAGGGTGCAGTGTGTAACAGTGTTCACGTGCAGGGTGCGGTGTGTAACAGTGTTCACGTGCAGGGTGCAGTGTGTAACAGTGTTCACGTGCAGGGTGCGGTGTGTAACAGTGTTCACGTGCAGGGTGCAGTGTGTAACAGTGTTCACGTGCAGGGTGCGGTGTGTAACAGTGTTCACGTGCAGGGTGCAGTGTGTAACAGTGTTCACGTGCAGGGTGCAGTGTGTAACAGTGTTCACGTGCAGGGTGCAGTGTGTAACAGTGTTCACGTGCAGGGTGCGGTGTGTAACAGTGTTCACATGCAGGGTGCAGTGTGTAACAGTGTTCACGTGCAGGGTGCGGTGTGTAACAGTGTTCACATGCAGGGTGCGGTGTGTAACAGTGTTCACATGCAGGGTGCGGTGTGTAACAGTGTTCACATGCAGGGTGCAGTGTGTAACAGTGTTCACATGCAGGGTGCGGTGTGTAACAGTGTTCACGTGCAGGGTGCAGTGTGTAACAGTGTTCACGTGCAGGGTGCGGTGTGTAACAGTGTTCACATGCAGGGTGCGGTGTGTAACAGTGTTCACGTGCAGGGTGCAGTGTGTAACAGTGTTCACGTGCAGGGTGCGGTGTGTAACAGTGTTCACGTGCAGGGTGCGATGTGTAACAGTGTTCACGTGCAGGGCGCGGTGTGTAACAGTGTTCACCTGCAGGGTGCAGTGTGTAACAGTGTTCACATGCAGGGTGCGGTGTGTAACAGTGTTCACGTGCAGGGTGCGGTGTGTAACAGTGTTCACGTGCAGGGTGCGGTGTGTAACAGTGTTCACGTGCAGGGCGCGGTGTGTAACAGTGTTCACGTGCAGGGCGCGGTGTGTAACAGTGTTCATGTGCAGGGTGCAGTGTGTAACAGTGTTCATGTGCAGGGTGCAGTGTGTAACAGTGTTCATGTGCAGGGTGCAGTGTGTAACAGTGTTCATGTGCAGGGTGCAGTGTGTAACAGTGTTCATGTGCAGGGTGCAGTGTGTAACAGTGTTCATGTGCAGGGTGCAGTGTGTAACAGTGTTCATGTGCAGGGTGCAGTGTGTAACCGTGTTCATGTGCAGGGTGCAGTGTGTAACAGTGTTCATGTGCAGGGTGCAGTGTGTAACAGTGTTCATGTGCAGGGTGCGAGTGGTGCAGTGTGTAACAGTGTTCATGTGCAGGGTGCGAGTGGTGCAGTGTGTAACAGTGTTCATGTGCAGGGTGCGAGTGGTGCAGTGTGTAACAGTGTTCATGTGCAGGGTGCGGTGTGTAACAGTGTTCATGTGCAGGGTGCGGTGTGTAACAGTGTTCATGTGCAGGGTGCAGTGTGTAACAGTGTTCATGTGCAGGGTGCAGTGTGTAACAGTGTTCATGTGCAGGGTGCAGTGTGTAACAGTGTTCATGTGCAGGGTGCGAGTGGTGCAGTGTGTAACAGTGTTCACGTGCAGGGTGCGGTGGTGCAGTGTGTAACAGTGTTCATGTGCAGGGTGCGGTGGTGCAGTGTGTAACAGTGTTCATGTGCAGGGTGCGGTGGTGCAGTGTGTAACAGTGTTCACGTGCAGGGTGCGGTGGTGCAGTGTGTAACAGTGCTCACGTGCAGGGTGCGAGTGGTGCAGTGTCTAAGTGTTCATGTGCAGGGTGCAGTGTGTAACAGTGTCCATGTGCAGGGTGCGGGTGGTGTGGTGTGTAACAGTGTTCACCTGCAGGGTGCGGTGGGCGCGGTGAACAGAGCGGCGTCACATCCCCTGTGGGGTTGCTCGCCGGTCACGCGCGGTGCCCTTTGCTATTGTGGCAATTTGTCGTCGGACTCGATCATTTAATTCGGTTACCGACGCTTGTGACTTATTTATTCTGGGACGTTCTGTACCTGCTGCTGATGAGCGAACGAACATCCCAGAGCTATGTGTGGTTAAGCTCTAATTGCACTTTTGTTTACATATGAACCTTATGGCGGGACTCCCGGCTCTTGCATAAACTGCGTTGCGACGAATTTTATGTCTGTTGAAGGCGAACGACACGGCAATCTATTCCTCTCGACGAGCTCTCCACGATGCGCTAATCAAAGTATTGTTTATTTTGCGCATTCGTCCTCGCTGCTGCGCTTGGACATGACATGACAACAGAATGATCCGCCCCAGGTGGGTCGCGGCATTTGTGCGCGGTGGGACGGAGTCGCCAAAAATAAATTACGATTTTGACTTCTGTTTATTTGGGACCCCGGGGTCCCGCCAATAAGGTTAATATCATTAAAACAAAAACTATTATTTTAG